TTTCCTCAATAGACCTCCTGTCTATTTGTATAGCTATATGACTGTCTGGATTTAACTGTCTAACCGTGGCAGCATAATCCCACAGCTGTTCATATTGCTCCATATCACAACCTTTGATTGCCTCCCTGGCCTTCCTCTTAGTCCTGTATGCTTTTTTGCCACTTATATTAACCATGAATCTTCTTCTGGCATCATTAATAATGCCATCCAAGCTGCAATTAGGGTCATCTCGAACCTTCTCTTGAAACTTTCTGCTCAGATAAGTTGAGGTTGCATGCTTGTTAGTGTACTCTCTGCCGCAATGGTGCTCTCCCTTTAGTGTTTTGATCTGAAAAGTGTCAGTTCTATTAATTCTGCTTGCATGAATCCTCCAAGAACATCCTTTTGCACATTTGGCAGTTATCCTCCAACTGTCATTGTTGATATATAAAACTTCGTATCCCTCTCTAATGTTCCATTCCACAAGTGCTTCTCTAAATTTTGTAAAATGAGTGAATTTCTTTCCAACCTTTAATTCAAAATTTGGCTTGTTAAACTCCACTGAATCATTGAAATATGAGTAGTCAGGCCCATTTTCATCACCAGAATATAGGAAGTCTTCATCTGCAGTCACAGGTTCATTCCATTCCTCACTGTCAGGGCCAATAGGTTGGTCTCCTCCATGTTGATGTTGTGCTGTGGACTCCTCACCCTGTGCTTCCTCATATTGTTGCTGCTGCTTATTCAAGTCTTCAGTTTGTTGATGCTGTGCTGTAGACTCCTCACCTTGTCGTTGCTGATGTTGTTGCTGCTGCTCATTCAAGTCTTCAGTTTGCTGATGTTGTGCTGTAGACTCCTCACCTTGTGGTTGCTGATGTTGTTGCTGCTGCTCATTCAAGTCACCAATTTGCTGATTTGTTTGAAGTACAGTTGAACCAGCAGTTGCAAAGATATCCTCATCTTCTGCAAATTCTAGACCCTCTCTCAACCAATCCGGATCAGGTTCTTCGTTTCCATCACTGTGGTGCTGCTGTTCATTGTTGACTTGATTCTTCTCAAGTGAGGTTCTGTCAAAGTCACAATGTTGTTCATTGTTGACTTGATTGGTCTCAACAGAGGTTCTGGTTGTTTGCTGAAATAATTTTCTGACAGTTTTTCTAGCTGCTCTCTTCACAGGTTGCACCACAGTTTGTCTCTTCCTTGATGGAGTTTTACCACCCTTTCTTCTGTTTTTCTTAGTTGGTTCGAAGGGATTTTGTGTGCCATCATTAGTTTCTACAGCAGTTGGGCCATCTAAATCATTTTCTTGCCCTCTTGTATCACCAATATATGGTTCAAAACCAGTCAGATCAACAGGATTTTGTGAAGCTCCAGCACCTTTTCTAGTCAGATCTGAATTTAGCTCTGAAGAACCTTCATTGTACGGTAAAGCAAGTGGACCATCATTCGTCACTCTTTCGAATAAGAGCTTACCATCTGGTGAAATAATTTTGAGAGGCGTCTGACCTGCCTCTACATATATATGCATAAAAGGAAGCCCTTCATAACAGGTATTCAACAATTCTATGTCCACATCATCATTTATTGGGATAACACCTACATCCACATCATGGTCTGGAATGGAATACCAAAATTTTGCACATGCCGCTTCTTTTTCAATTTTGGAGTATAGGTTGAATAATAAAATGTTGATAACTCATCAGGGTCGCAATTGTGAAACACTCTCACTGAATCACTTGTATACCTAATATTGGGATGATGTATAAACTGCCCACCATAGTGCATGTGGATATCCACTGTCCTAAAAGGATCTGACATGGTCCCCAACCTACATTATTTAATCAACACTTTTAGAATTCAAATATAGATTAATAAACTATATTAAGCTACATCACACTTTCAGATTATAAGAACAATTAGTTATAACAACAATCAAATTATTAAGTGAAATCTGATTTGTAGTCAAATCCAAACCCGACACATATTATTTCCTCCTGACATCAACCACATACTCCAAAAAAGACCCACATTCTCCAAAAAAGACCCACATTCTCCAAAAAAGACCGACATTCTTCAAAAAAAGCTAAAAAAGTTAAGATCTTTACATTTTTAAACCCCATTTTCTCTGATAAATCACCTAAATATGGGCCACCAACTATAAAAATGACAGATATGGGGTAATGTAGAAAAGGAATAAACAAATTGGAAAAGGATTACAAATCCTAAACATTAAATGGACTGAATATTGAACAATAAGTTCTGATTCTTACCTAGAAATGTCGAACAAGCTTCACGATCAGATTTCCCCACCAATCTGTCTTTCCCTTCTTCGCAACCGAATGCAGCTTCACGATCAGATACAACCACCAATCTGTCACTCCATTCTTCGCAATAGAATGCACCCACGGCTTTTTCAGCTCAGATTCACGATATTTCAGCAACAATTTAGTATACAAATCCCTTGTCTTAGGGTTTTTTTTCTTACACAGGATGAACGAGAAAAGAGTCAATTGTTCATTCTCTCTCTCTCTCTATTATAAATGAGGGTATTTTGGGTATTCGACCTGCAGCCGGTAACTCAACCGGTTAAAAAGTCTATTTCCACTTCAGTTATGAAGTTTAGGGCGTTTATGTGTATGTTTCTAAACGATAGGGGGGTTCCGTGTCTTTTCGCAAAACCATAGGGGAGTTCCGTGTATTTTTCCCTTTTTTTTTTTCTAATTTCAGCTAAAATGCAAAAAAGAGTTGGGCTATTACCAGCAAAAGTCTTAATGTTTCTAGCTTAATACGGATGCAGCAGCTTCAGCCAAAATGGTCAGGACCGGTCTGGGGATAGTTGCAAGGAATTGGCATGGAGAACTAGTGAAAGCTCAAGGGATGGTGGAAGGAGAAGAGGGGAAGCTGCCACAGAGGAATCATTAGCAATCCGAAGTGCACTGGAAATGGCTCAAGTTGCAGGATGGGCAAATATAGAAGTCCAGTCAGACTGCAAAAATGTAGTGAGCTCTATTAATGCGGGTAATGTTGAGGACCGTAAGTTACAAACAATCCTAGAGGACATTGAGACCCTTAAGAATAGCATTGACAGTTGCCTATTCTCTTTTGTTCCCAGAACTGCGAATAGGCATAGTCATGCAATGGCTCAGTTTGCAACCAAGGTGATTAGAAACATTAATTGGGACACTTCTTTCCCAGCATGGCTAACTGATCTAGCTAGGAAAGATATGGGGGTAGTTACCCCTTTTTGTAATTAACTCTTGTATTTTCAAGTGTTAATATCTATAAAATGTTATCGTTTGTTTAAAAAAAAAAAAAAAAAAAAAAAAGAGGGTCATGATCTGTATTCTACTTAAAAGACATTTTCCACTTGGTCCAGCCCATCTTGAGTAAATTCAAAAACTTTTTTGATGTTGAAGTATATTGAGCGTAGCCCTACACATTGATGCCGATTGCACAAGTTGGTTGACTCAACTAGTTAAGGCCCAACCTTCATAGCTACAAATTTTTTTTTTTTTGTGGGTTGCGACATAGGTTTAATCATATTGTAGTAGGATTATTCATTTGATGCATAATATTTAAAACAACTTAATTCATTGTTTCGCATTTTCTAACTCACAACTGAAGTGGTCTGGAGGGATCCCATGCGAGGCCATACCAAAGAGATACTCTGTAAATCATATTATATACTTAGTTCCACTATACATTTAGTTAATGCAAAACGATTTTTTTTTTTTTAAGTACTGCTTGTTTTCAAATACAGGTTCAAAAAGGCAAAAATGTTCAAATTGGCCTTACCCGACCATAGCTTAGAGTATAAAAGTGTATCAGGGATTTAACTTCGGCCTTGACAGTGACAAAGAATATACTAGGCCAAACTGTGAGCTTCTATAATTGAAAGGATTCGAGCTTTCCAGAGTCCTATTAGAAAAGGTTAAATGATTTCTTGCTTTGGTTGGTGTGATTAATGAACCCCTAACAGATTACGCATTTAAATAAATAACGATTATGTGATAATGGTTGCAACCCAAAGTGGAATGAATTAACAAACGGGACGCTAACTAGTTATGAAGATTGTCATGAAAAAAACTAAATTGAGAAACGCTAACTAGTTTGAAGGACTGAATTGAGAAAAGAACTAAAGATTGTCATGAAACAGAACTATGCAAATGCAGTTTTTCCTCTGGATGCCTTTCAAATGACAGCTAAGAAAATGAACTTAAAATTGGGCACATACAAATAGATTTTTAGAGACTAGAAAAAAAAAAAAAAAACTTTGGCATACTTAATGTGGATAATATAACTTATTTTGCTTCATGTTTCAAATCTTGGCATCATCCTGCAACAGAGGACATTGGAAAGATTATTTGAGTGGAACAAACTTGATTAGTTATATTAAGTAAAAGAACGTACTCTCATGCCGAGAGATTCGGAAAAGACTCAAGTTGACGTTTTATCTTTTGAAGTACCGCCACAACATCCTTCATATTAGTCCGATCTCGCGGGCATTCAGCACAGCAACTCAAAGCCAATTTGAAGATCACTGAAATACACTCCAATTTCTCATTGAAATGCTCATCTTGCCGCCCAAGTAAGTTTGCATCTATAACCTGAGTTGTTGCATTAGGCAGAGATTCTTCAATCCAACTCTTCAGGCTCAAACCATCTTTGAACATTTCGTCACTAGGCTTCATTCTTGAAAAGGTTTCCATCAAAACTATGCCAAAACTATACACATCAACTCTCGTTGACACCTGCCCTTCAAGTCCATACTCTGTGATATGAAAGGCAATACATCACGCTTAAAGTGAAAAAAAATAGAAAACTTGGAAGATTGACATATAATTCACGTAAAAAACGGATAAAAAAGCAACTAAAAAGAAGTCAAACAAGCCAAACCTGGTGCCAAGTATCCAAGCGTTGCAAGTGTCTTGGTATGCAGAACACTATTTTCTTCATCCAAAAACTTTGCCATACCAAAATCACTCACATGAGCAACCATACTTTCATCGAGCAATATGTTGTCAGGTTTCAGATCGCAGTGAACCACTGGTGTTGTATAACTAAAATGGAGATATTCCAATGCGGAAGCAACATCCATCATTATGCTTATCCTTTGCAGCAGATCCAGGCGATGGTTGTGGGAGTACAACCATTTCTCAAGGCTCCCATTGGACTTATAATCAAGCACCAAGGCTTTAAAGTCCAAGTTAGAGCAGCTACCAATCACTTTGGTTAGGTTTCTATGGCGAAGGTTGCGTAGAACTTCACACTCTGTATCAAAACTCCCGGAAGTAACTTCTGCTAGTAAAGTGAAAACTTTCACAGCTACAACTGTCCCATCCATCAAAATACCCTTATATACAGATCCAAAACTCCCTTTGCCAAGCAAATTGCTTTCATCATAACCATTGGTTGCTTGCACAAGTTCATAGTATGAAATCATTTTTGGCAATCCCATGGGCAACAAATCAGTGTTTCTTGAAATCCCATCCTTTCTTCGGCATCTTAAAAGTAAAATTGCAGCAGTTGTAAGAGCAATTGTTGTTGCTGCAATACCTGATAGAATGCCTAGCATATGAAATACTTTCTTTTGACTCGATTTGTGAATCCGAGGAGAAGGACATGGAGGAACATGAAACCTCTGAGCGCCACACAAGTCATCATTAGACATGAATGATTCATATGTGAAGTTCTCAAAAGGACCACTAGAGGGAATTTCTCCTCTTAAGCGGTTGAAAGAAAGATTAATGTGTTTGAGATATAAAAGTGTCTCCAAGGACTTTGGTATTAGACCTGATAGATTATTATTGGATAGATCCAAAAATTCCAAGCTTAACATCTGACTGAGAGAGTCTGGAACAGGTCCCTGAAGTTTATTTTGTGCTAATGAAAGCGTTGCTAATCTTTGCAAGCCTCCTAAGGAACTTGGAATATTCCCATTAAGCTGATTTCCTGACAAATCTAATAGTGTTACTACCTTCAGATTTCCAGTTTCGTAAGGTAGTGAGCCACTCAAGGAATTATACGACAGGTACAACGTCAAGAGATCAGTGAGGTTCCACAAGCTACCAGGTATGCTTGAGTTTAATAAGTTCCCAGCAAAGTCAATTTCTCTCAGGGAACTAATATTATTTAAGCACGATGGCATTGACCCACGAAACTGGTTTTGCCCCAGATAGATTTGGTACAATCTCTTTAACTTGCAAATGCAATCTGGAATTGAACCACTTAATTGATTAGCACTCAAATCCAAACCTTGAAGATTTTGCAAGTATTCCATTGTGCTCGGAACGGGCCCACTCAGGTGATTTCCATATAGACTCAAAATCATTAGGCTGCTCAAATTCCCAATTGCATCGGGAATGCTTCCCTTGATTCTGCAACCATATGCATAGAATCCCTCCATAGAAGTCGAGAGATTCCCAACTGATATTGGAAGAAAACCGTGCAGCGGATTTTCAGCAAAAGCTAATTTTTTCAGATACTTGCAATTTATTAAGTAACTGATAAAGCTCAATTCTCTCGATGACGGTTCAGTTGTCAAATGATTATCATCGAGACCCAAATCTGTTAGAAGTCTTAGGTTTCCAAGAGAGTTTGGAACTGGACCGCTGAATCTATTTTCCATCAACTCTAAAATAGTCAGCTTAGACGCATTTGAGATTGACGCTGGTATCACTCCATCCAACTCATTCGAAGAGAGATAAAGCTCTTCAAAGTTGATCAATCCATAACCCATGGATGACGGAAGCCTTCCAGAAAGCGTATTGTTCGATAGGTCCAGTACTTGCAGTGTCGAGATGTTGAATATTTGGGCTGGTATGGATCCAGTTAGGCTATTGGAGCCCAAATCAAGTTCTTCAAGATGCTTTAGGCGGCCAAGCTCGTGCGGAATGCTACCTAGTGGGTGGGTTACCACGTTTACAAATGTTAGTGCATGCTACGGATTAATTTACTCATGTTAGAATGTTTTAAAGAATTTACTTAAAACCTTCATCCTCATTACAAGGAATTGCATTTTGTTTTTTGGATAAAATACTTTCACAACAACCAAGAGATATTTAAGTCAATAGGGTTTGAAGACAATAGAAAGGCAAATTGGCATATGTAATCAACATGGAATTGTTTTTTCTTTCAGATAAATGCATATATTTTTGCAGATTAATATGCTTAAAAATTACAAACATGATAAAATCTAGAAAAAACCATATAAAAAGATTCAAGCTTATATATATATATAACTTCACACAAAATTAAAAAAAAAAATAAAAGAGGGAAGCCTAAGCTTTGGTAGTTGGCTGAGGTGACTGTCATTCATATTTTGATTATTACGTCTGGAAATGTTATACGGTCTTTTTTACTACCACATATGTTTAATAAGAAAATTCTTTGTATTCTTCTTTAGTTACCGAAAGTGTTACCAACTATTTTTTCAGGTTTGATAAATAATTACCTTTATGTTATTCTATAATTTTGGGTACCTCCGGATTTCCTTCATACAAGCCTTCAAATTACTAATCAATGTATTATTTAATTGTTTGAGAATATATAACTAGTAATATGTAGCTTTTTTTTTTCTAATTTCAGCTAAAATGCAAAAAGAGTTGGGCTATTACCAGCAAAAGTAATAGTCTCCAATGACGAAATATTGAATACCCCCAATGGCAAAGGGCAGGAAATCTGACTGTTAAATGTTGATGTTCACTATCTTCAATTTGTTTAGATTCCGAATCTCTATTAGAATTGTCCCTCGTAGAGAATTGATGTTTCTAGCTTTGGTGACATGAGATTAATTAGCTTTGAAATATTTATTCTAAGATGTAAAACAAAGTTACATTAGATTACGAACTTTGTAATGCATACCAAGGTCAATTGATACTTATTAATACACGCGACTTATTATGTAAATGCCTCTTTACACTTAGTCAAATTTCCCTAAATGACAATTAAAACATGGAGCATATAGTTACATGCACATTTATATGATATCTGCTCAAATTCAAGAGCTAGGATGGTACCAATCAAATTGTTCCGGCGAAGATATAGTCGCTTGAGCGCCGTCAAGTTCCCAAATCCTTCCGGTATCACTCCAATCAAATTGTTGTCACCAAAATATAGTTCCTGGAGTGCCGTCAAGTTCCCAACTTCTTCCGGCATCACTCCACTAAAGTTGTTGTATGACAACCCCAGTACACGAAGCTTTGAACATTTGGACAAGGATGCTGGTATCATGCCACTTAATTTGTTACGGGAAAGGTCAAGCCATGAGAGTCCTTGAAGACGGGCACATATGCTGGATGAAAGACTACCAGACAGGCTATTACCTTGAAAAGCAATCATTTCCAATGCGGAAATATTGAACATCAGCAATGGCAAAGAACCTGAAAGCTGATTATAGTGCAGGACTATTTGCTTCAACTTGTTTAATTTCCCAATCTCCACTGGTATTGCTCCTTGTAGAGAATTAAACTTCAGACTCAATGTCTCTAGCTTTGACATGTTGGAGATAGAGGGTGGGATATAGCCGGTAAAGCTATTGTTCTTCAGAGAAAATTGTCGGAGTTGTTGGAAGGAACCAACCCAAGAGGGAATATTTCCGCTAAGCATGTTAATGCCTAAACTAAGGACTCGTAACCTGGACAGACGAATCAATTCATTGGGAAGTTCTCCGTAAAAGTTGTTCCTGCTCATATCGAGGGACATGAGAAATGAGAGATTGCCCAGTTGTGGAGGAATGGTGCCGGTAAGGCCCAAGTTGGAGATATTCAAGGCAGTGACTCTGCGGTGGCGGGAGCCGCAAGTGACTCCTCTCCAGTCACAAACTGAGGAAGTAGCCGACCAGTTGCTTGCTAAGATTTCGTGAGGATCCCAAGTGATTTTAGCTTTCAATGAAAGAAGGGCTGATTGATCAGTGGATATGTTGGGGGCGGTCGTGGCTAAGCAAGATAAGAGAGAACCTAGCAAGAAGAGTCCAAAGGGAAAATACAAGTGAGATAATTTCTTCATGATTATACTTTCAGTTTTCCCCTAAGGGATACCTTTATGGTGGGAACCTGCCTATGGTAGGAAGACGGAGACGTTAAATTGTTGTACGGCGCGTGGAAAGGAAATCTACGAGAACCGTTTGCGGATGCAATCAAAAAATACACTGACTTTCGTATGAGTTGGGGCAGGAAGTGTTTTTGCATGTTAAAATCAGAGGCATTTATGTATTTGTAAATGTACCCATTACGACCGGAAAAATGTTGCAAATGCCTTGGACAAAAAATGTACATAAAGAAGGTACCGAAATTTTAAGAAATAATAAATGATTATCGCACACGCATGGGGGATAATAATTTGGAAGAAGGAAAAGTGGAAGTAAACGAAAGGATTCAAGCCTTCATTATATTTATATACATATATAAATTTAGTGACCAAGTGTTTAGCTTAAGCATCCGGAAAATGGTTCCATGACTATCGTTATGGTAAAAAAAACTTATTGTAATAGGTTATAATAAATTTAACAACCATTTGATTACCTGTTGAATTTATCCACTTGAATAGGATTATGCGTAAAAATAAGGAAGTAAGTTTGTCATCTAAAATAGTAAGTTAACGTAATAAACTAGTAATTTTTGCAGCCCAAAACGTGAATTGAAAGTATTACGAAACATACTTTTTAAAGAGATAAATTGCAATTTTTATCCTCAATATACTTTTGAGGGAATAAGTTTATTCGAAATAATAGTATGTTTTTATACATAAATAATCATTTTTACTTATAACATAGTAAATTTCATTAATGACAAAAACATGCTTATTTATGGCAAAAATTCTCTATTATGCTTAAAAAACTTATGCCAAGCCCATATTTTATTGTTATTTAAAATAACACTAAAATGTTTTATTAATGATTAAAACTGAGTACCTTACTTAGTAAGTAATGTTAATATACTTGTATAAATACTTGATCATATGTGAAAAAATTAGTATTTTTGAAATTTATACATAATTAAATTTTTTCTGTTGCAGTTTTTAAAAAAAGTAAGCGAAAATTTTTTTGCGCAGAGCACCAAAATCCACAAGTCAAAATAGTTGGTTTGAAAGGAAAAGATACAGCTGAATAGCATTGTTTAAAGCACCAAATAAATAGATGTAAAATGCTGGTTAAAAACTGGTACTTTGACATATAATAAAGGAAAGTCATAAAAATCAGGCCATTTATGGAAAAAGTTTTCATTAATAAAAATTCCAACTCTTCACGGCTTTCTTACCAGTCCTCCAAAGCATGAGCAAAGTGCCAATAATTGAAATAGTAATTTTTTCAATTTATACAGAATTAATTTATTTTTTGCAAATTTAAAAAAAAATTGAAATTTTTTTTATCAAAAAGCACATAAGTCAAAAGGATTGGTCTAAAAGAGAAAGGAATAGCATATATGTACAGTACTTATATTTCACGTTCGAAGGACTACAGTGTTGTTTTTGACAATACCCCGAAAAATATGTAATGCAAACGAAATCGATTCTTCATTAGTTAAAATACCAAATCTGTGATTGTGTTTTAACTGTTATCCATTGGTATTCTAAAGTATCATTTTTTCATCCAATACCACCTCTTTAACACCCATTTTTCCTTAAAAATTTTATTTATTGGATGAAAAAATAAACCTTTTATGCAACAAAACACTAGCTCTTTGTAGCTTTCCTCCATTATAAGAACAGAGTACCCATTTTTTCATAAAAAAATTTATTTATCAGATAAGATAAAAATTAACCCATTTTTCAATAAAACACTAGTTATTTATGGTTTTCGTCCATTATAAGAACATAGTACCCATTTATAAACAAAAAAAATTATTTATCAAATAAAATAAAAATAAACTTATTTTCCAATAAAACATTAACTCTTTATGATTTTCCTCCATTATAATAACAGAGTATCCATTTTTGCATAAATAAAATTTATTTATCGGCTAAACTAAAATTAAATCCATTTTTCAATAAAACACTAGCTCTTTATGACTTTTCTCCATTATAAGAACAAAGTACCATAACAAAATTTGTGGATTAATTAAAATAAAAATAAATCTATTTTTCAATAAAACACTATCTCTTTGTGACTTTCCTCCATAATAAGAATACAGTACCTACCTTTCCATTAAAAAGTGTATTTATCGAATAAAATAAAAATAAACCCGTTTTCTAATAAAACACTAGCTCTTTATGACTTTTTTCCATTATAAGAACAAATAACCCATTTTCACATAAAAGAATTTATTGGATAAAATAAAAATAAATCCATTTTTCAATATAGCATCAGCTACTTATGGTTTTCCTCCATAAATTATCTATTTTCATACGTTAATTTATTAGTTAGATAAAATCAGAATGAATTAGGTTGAACAACAAATTACCCTTTACGATGAAATTGAAATACAGAAAAGTAATCCATAGCAAGTTTTAACTCCATTTCCAATACAAAAATATGCTACAAATTCTTTTGGCAAACGCAAGACACCTCATTCATAAAGTCTCAAGAAATCTTTCCAACCATTATGCAAAAGTAACTTATTCATTCTAAATTTTTAGCATCAATTTGATTATCAGTTGGACGTATCCACCTGAATAGGATAATATGTATTTTCTGAGCCGGGACACGAGACATAATAGGAATTAAACTTGCATTAATGTAAACCTAACAAAATGAGAAAAATAGCATAACAATTAATACAATAATAAGAATAACAAAATTGGTATAACAAAATTAGTTTAGTCTACAAATTTATTTTTTTCTGCAGATAGTTTACGAATATGACATTCAACCACTAAAAAAAAGACATATATATCTGTCTATATGTATTGCAGTGAGAATTTTAGATAAGGAGCTTTTCAAATTGTCTAAAGTTCGAATACTATTTATTACAATTTTACATTTCTAAAATTAAGAAATGTTTATCTCACAACTAATCCTTTAACTGCTCGTACAAATCCTATAATCGTGCTCATGTTTTTCCCACATTTTCCCCACTAACCAATAAAATTAAAACTCTCGAATTTTAACTAACAGATAATAACCAACTATATCAAATTAATATCTGTAAATTCCAATTAACATCTCACATTTACTGCTGACTTTACTGATAGTATTAACTAACAGTTATTACTGACATTCACATCTCATACTTACCACATTACTCATAGTAATAACTAACTGTTAATTTAAGATATTCGCAACAGCGAAAGTCACATATCCAAAATTTAGGAGCATGTTGAAATTATAATTTTCACAATTCAATGTATTTTACTGCCACAATATAGTTTACTCTCAGAATCATTCACAAAACTGCTGCACACTAATCCAATTGACCCATTTAATTTGGCATCATATAAATTCAATACAGTGAAAAAATTACGTATCATACATTTTTTCACTAAGGATAAATCTCAGTTACAAATATTTCAGTCAGTGACAAAGCCAAGATTTTTTTTTCTAGAAAGGTTAAAATAGGTACTCAGTTTTTATAATGGAAAAAAGTCATAAAGAGTTAGTGTTTTATTGAACAATGGATTTATTTTTATTTCATCCGATAAATAGATTTGTTTATGCAAAAATGGGTACTCTGTTCTTATAATGGCGGAAAGCCATAAAAATCTAGTGTTTTATTGAAAAATCAAATTTTCATGTATTTTATCCGACAAATAAATTGGTTTATGGGAAAATTGGTGTTAAAGAGGTGGAATTTTTCTAGAGGGGCTGAAATGGGTACTCTATTTTTATAATGGAGGAAAGCCATAAAGAGTTAGTGTTTTATTGAACAATTGATTTATTTTTATTTCATCCGATAAATAAATTTGTTTATGCAAAAATGGGTACTCTGTTCTTATAATGGAGGAAAGCCATAAATAGCTACTGTTCTATTCAAAACCGAATTTTCATGTATTTTATCCGATAAATAAATTGGTTTATGGGAAAATTGGTGTTAAAGAGGTGAAATTTTATGGAAAAATGATACTTTATGATACCAATGGATAACAGTTACAACACAATTACAGATTTGACATTTTAAATAGTGAAGAATCGGTTCCGTTTCGATTACATATTTTTCGGGATATTTTTAAAAAATAGCACTATAGTCCTTCGAACATAAACTATAGGTACTGTACGTATATGCTATTCTTTTCCCCGTTACACCATTCCTTTGACTTATATGCTTTCTCATAAAAGATTTTCATTCATTTTTTTAAATGGAAAAAAAATAATGAAATATGTATAATTCGAATAAAATACTATTTTAATTATTGCCATTTTGCTCATACGTTGCAAGACTGATAAGAAAACCGTAAAGCGTTGCTATTTTTATGAATGACAACTTTTCTCGTAAATGGTCTGCTTTTTATGTCTTTCCTTTATTATATGTCAACGCACCTGCTTTTAACGAGTATTTTACATCTAATTTATTTAGTATTGTAAACAATGATATTCAGAATGTTTCTTTCCCTTTTAGACTAAGAACTTTGACTTGTGAATTTTTGTGCTCTGAGAAAAAAGATTTTCACTTACCTTTTTTTTTAAAACTGCAAAAGAAAAAATCAATTTCCCCATAAATCTCAAAAATGCTTATTTATACACATACCATCAAGTATGTATACAAGTATAATAATTGTACTGATTCAGTAACGTACTCAGTTTTAATCAGTAATAATACATTTATGTGTTATTTCAAATAACTCTAAAATATGGGATTCGTATAAGTTTTTTAAGCATAATACAATATTATGGCAATGAATTAGCATGTTTTTGTCATTAATCAAATTTACTATGTTATAACTAAAACTCATTATTTCTGTATAAAAATATATTTTTACTTCAAATAAACTTATTCCCTCAAAAGTATATTTGGAATATACTATTGTAATTTATCTCTTTAAAAAGTATGTTTCATATTACTTACAATTTACCTTTTCGACTGCAAAAGTTACTAATTTATTACGCTAACTTACTATTTTGAATGACAAATTTA